GAAGAGGAACAAACACCACCATCATCTAGGCTCCGGTGGCTACTATGCCAAGGAAGAGCAGTTTAGAAAGATGGATGAAGAGGCCGCAGCTGTTGGGAATATCAATGTGACGAAGTTGAAGGTACACTCAAGGAACTGGATATATGCGAGGAGTACAGAACCATCCGGCAGTAATCTTAATTTTGATAAGCCGGAGACCCAAGAGGCGGTATCAAGGATACTGAAATATGCTGAAGACAAAGAGAAGGGCTCATTCAATCCTTCCAGAGAGAGGGACGAGCTTAGCCTTGGCTTGGGAAACAAGGAGCACACAGGCCGCACCAGGGGGCTAGGGAAAAGGATGACTTGGAAGTAAGGATTCGAAGAGGATAGGCACATGTACAAGAAACATGGCCGAGACCGGGAGACTAGTCTTGAGCTCCAAGTGAAGGCTCTAGTTGTGAAGACGCTGGAGGAGCAAGGAATGTCTATGGAGCCACGTATATTAGTGACGCCACCGGGAGAACTGGCATTAGTTGGCAGCCCTCCGAAAGTTCCTAGCAGCCAAGGTTCCACTACAGCCACAACCTCGGTCGATCTCATACGGGAACCTACTAGTTGCACCTTGGTGTTTCTCAAAGGGCCGTGAAGAATCTTTGTGATGGAGGTGGCAACGGTGTTGCACATCCTCCCGGTGGCTTACACCACAATAATAACATACCGCTGAGACTACACTAGGGTCGAGGTGCATACAAGTGAAGCCCGAGTTCATGCAAGTGGAGGATAGACTACGCAACTCCCGAGGGGCTGGTGTTACTCGGAGACGTTATGGGGCAATTCATCCTCTCGCACAAACGGGACATTATATTGACTGCTTCTTCGCCGCCTCCCCCTCTCCCAAATTTGGAGCGAGTTGTTGAGGCCGGGGAGATATTTTCACCGTCTCGTGACCCCCACATTTCGAGATGCCACATTCTTCCCCGCCTCCCTATCGAGCATGTGCACGATGAGATGCCACAACCTTCTCGGCCAGACCGGGCAAGTGCATCATGAGATGCCACAGTCTTCTCAACAAGCACAACCGATATATGAACAACGAGTGCCTCTTGAAGAAGGTGATGCACAAGAAGATGAGGACGTGCCTGAATGGGAACTCCGAAAGAAGATTCCAATCCACATAAGGCCAGTTTATGTTCCGATCAAAGACGTCCGTGCCGGTGTCCAAGTGGTATTCCCATGATCAGTTCAAGCACGAAAACCAAGTTAAAAAAGTCCCATCACGGGGGTTACGAGGAGGCCGTCAAGAGTAAACTTCACCAAATTGCAAAGCAAAATATCCAAATGTTGATGCCATCGAATGGTCAAAGGATTGCCCGAAAAAATATGAAAGAGGCAAGCCCTTCCTACCAAACCGGGACATCCAGCGCCTACCACTTAGAATGAGAAGGTTCCATGATTGGTACTTGCGTGTTCTCCCAACGAGCATAGATATCATACAAGCATGCTTTCCCACCGGCACATTTGGAAGCCCAGCCGGGAAAATTGTCTTTGACTTCAATGACATGCACACATGCTTTCACCTGGGAGAAATGGAGATGAATCTAATTTGCACGTGGTGCCTATAAGTCCTTGTCCTCCCGATATGATATGAATGTAATCTTTGAATTTTGTTGTAACTAACCCACGCCGTGATTTGTAGAATGCAAGTGCACATTGTCAAACAAATGCCAAGTGTGAAAGCCGGGTATGTAGACCCTCAAGCTATAGCCCAAACAAATTTTAATTACCCTAAACGGTGGACACTGGATGCCAAAGAGCTAGCAGCTGCAAAGACTCTTCGGGAGAAAGAGCGCATCCGTAGTGCGAAGCTAAGGGAAGAGTCCCTTAAGGTTGCGGCATACATTGCTCTGGCTTTTAAAAATCTCCAACAACACTCTACTATATGGCTACCATACAACTTCGAGTAAGTTCAACTATAACTTAAAGCTATGTTCGATATATTTTATTCGATGTAAAAGAGCTTATCTAGTTCTATGATTAAATCCATGCAGCAACCACTGGATTTGTATAGCCGTCGATGTCGGGAAGAGCATGGCATGGGTCTTTGATTCAATAGATAAGGACCCGGCGACATACAAAGACTTCATATCGATTCTCAAGACGTATACATATCGACAATCCTCATTAGCTTATATGTCAGTATACATACTTGTAACGTTCACTTATGCATACTAACAAGTTGTATTTGCTAAAATAATTGAACAGGCATTTAGGTTCTATGTCTCTCATCATCACGGAAGGCATGATCAAAGTTGAGGAAGGAAAAGTGGCTATAAAAACACTATGTGCGTGTAAGTGTAACTTACTTCTTCAAGACTCGTTACACATGGCTGTCAAAAGCATTACCTAATATTTTCATATGCAAACACACACGGTGCCCCAAGCAGAGAGGCACTGGAGTGTACATTGTGGATACTATATATGTTCTATGATGAGTAACACCGGTGCCCTACAGGAGACACCCCTTAAGGGTAAGTTTGAACCTCTTCACCCGTAGTATAAAAACTTCATAAATGGTATGAAATACTAAAGCTGAAACTTGTTTTCTTGTAGTGGAGAGAAGAGAAAGGAATGAAAAGAGACCCATACAAGGATGACCAACTCTTAGAGCTCGTCGGCGACCTTTGCAACTTCATATTGGACCAGATTGTACACGTCGAGGCGCCTACCATGATCGAGAGTCCGAGTTAGGTACAAATCCTCAAGCACCAACACCTTCGTGAGACCGAAAGGCTAGCTCTAGGACGTTGATAACAATGTGTATGAAATTTGTATATTTAATGATGGATTGTATATATATATATCATTATTTAATTGGACTTTTAATTGTACTTTATATAATACTATTGTGCTTGTAGTCGCGTTCGAACGTTGGTCGCGTGTATGTTCGCAACGCGAACGCGGTTCGAACGTTATCGCGTGGCGTTCGGCAACTTGAACGCGGATCTTTGGATGGAATACATGTAAACAAACAGTTCGGTCGAATTTAAATTGTAAATTTGAATTTTTTTGGCGGAAAAACGCATCTTTGTAGGGGCGGTTCTAGATTGAACCGCCCCTACAAATAGGTATTATAGAGGCGGCTGGCACTACAGCCGCCCCTACAAATAGATTTGTAGGGGCGGTTGGTTCTTGAGCTGCCCCTACAAATAGATTTGTAGGGGCGGTTCGTAATACCAGCCGCCCCTATAAATTTATTTATAGGGACGGCTCAATCACCAACCGCTCCTATAAATCGATTTGTAGGGGCGGCCTGGGAACCGCCCCTACAAATGCATGATTTGTAGAGACGGTTCGGTAGGGGCGGCTGGCCAAACCGCCCCTACAAAGGGTTACCAGCCGCCCCTAAAAATGCTTTTTGTAGTAGTGGATCAAAGTTACATCAGGAAAGTGCAGGCCAATTCTATGTTATAAATCTATGTAAGTTTTTAGATATTGATGATCAAAGTTATAGAAAAAATAATTTAGGGCAAGCCTAGATAGCTTTATTATATTTCATCAAAATAAGTAGTACCTCCTAATGCAAGGTTTTACACTGTTTACAAGGCACTAAGAAGCAACCGCTACCACCTGCCCTAGTAATGAACGGTTTATATTATTGAGGTGGTAACTTAGTGTTGACGCCGGATTTTGACGATGTCCCCTCTTTGTATCAGCCGTACGTTTCTTCCATCCAATAAGAATTTAACTATTTAATCTCCATTTCAAAGCCCATTAATTATTGCTGGCTCAAAGTTGTCCAATTAAGGTCCAAATAATATTTTCCTTTCCAAATTAACTCGCTGGACTAAAATTGCGTGTCATCCTCGGACTCACGTCCAAACCAGGCGCTGTCCACAAAAATTTGTCTGGATGCATGGATGAACATTCTGGTGCGTGCTGCCTTCTCTGTCGTCGTGCTTGCCGTAACGATCTATACTTTATTATCAAAACTCAGCAGCATCGGTTAACTTATTTTTTCCTCGAATACGCAAGAGAATTGCGTATCATTACATTAAATAGAAAGAGTTTGCAAAAAGATACAGGAGATGCCGTTGCCGGCCATTACACCCATTCATTGAGCGCTACATTTTGAAAAAGACAGCGTCGGTTAACTTATCAATAATCCGAATGGCCAACTATCAGTCCTAGTCACATACGGGCAATCTTTTCCTTCTCCGTCTATGCAAACTCTGACGATTTGACTGACCACAAGCATTGCGGTAACTTTGAGTGTGAACACTTAGGTATCGAAGTTTCTTTATAAAAAGCATTGTCATTTTTTGTGAGGTAAAGGCTAACTAGTAACAGCTCTCAATTGTCAAAAATCTTGTGCATGCTAATAAAGTTCTTCATACTTTAATTATTATATATGCCATGGGCTATTCCTTTCCGTCTTTGGTTGCTCCCTAGAATATTTAATCTACTTCCTCCGTTCTAAAATAGATGACTTGTCTGAGCACGAGAATTAAAGTGGAGTGAAAAAGCATGATGCGCAGAAAAAGAAGAAGAGAGAGACAGAGATGTATTAAAAAAAGAAAAAAAGTGTATTGTTCCTAGTTTTTTTTTTGAAGAATTATTGTTCCTAGTTTCAAGTAGTGGTCTCAAACACAATAAACACTCCCTAGCGGGTTTGTTGTTCTTTTGGGCCATATTTACGGCTATGCCAAAAAAATATTGTTTTTATAAAAATTTATTACATGTTTTTATTATAAAAAAAAAAGAAAAAGCGCAAGGCATTCTTTGTGTTGAAACACTTAATACAGTGGCATTTACAGTAGATGTAGGTGATACCGCACCAGGAATACATGGCAGGCAAACTGAGCAATAATATCATGAGCCACGAACCTTTATTTGGCATTTTACACGTTCAGTATATTATCCTCAGCACGAACAAAACAAACACAACACAAGACACATTACACGCGCGTCGAAACCTCAGCACCATTGCGATTCAGCCCACAAATATAGACAAGGATACACTACTCCATCTTTGATGAACCAACGATTGCAACCTCAGCTTCGATGCAGCACTTGTTCTTCACGAGATAGCCATTTGAGGAGTCCTTGAAATCCTCCAGCGAGATGAACTTTTTCCATACCCAGCAACTAGCCTTGTTTGTAAACTGGCTCCGGGCTGTATTTTTCCCAACCAAACAAAGTCAAGAATATATATTATGATAATTCGGCATTTGCAATACTGTCTAGGTAGGCGAACCTGTTCCTTTCCGGTGATTGTCGCCTTCCTGGTGTTTGATCGATAAGCTCAATTCTACCAGGTTCGCAGAGTCATTAGGGAGATCATTTGTTTTTTTCATGCGCAGGCTCAAGGTGAGGTGGTTCCCATCGCAAGACTTACAGATACCGATACTCCTGTAAATTGGACAGCATGTAACAGTTCAGTTCATGATGCATAAAACAAAGTATTGCGTTTCAGGTGCCGAGCATTAAAATTGCGTGCTGAGCATGTAACCATTTGTATCATCCGACTTCAAACTCCGGCGAGTAGCCGGAGTTCTTCAGTGCAAAGAAGTCCTCGATGCCCCAGGTGTAAGTCTTGGCCTCGTTGAAGATGCTCGGCTTCTGAACAAATAGAGTTTCTGACGTCGTGCTCACTTTGGAAGTGGTGACTTTGATGAACTCGACACCAAAGGTGCAGCTGCTATTGACAATAAACTTGGAGGGCCGTTCTTTCAGTTTTTCAAGGGAAATCATGCATGAGGCTCCGGAGCTTGTGCTTGCAGTCTGAAAACTGTGCCTAACTGCAGGCACAAATCATGGGAAAAGATGAAATTCTCGTGTATGAAAAAGGTATTCGATCTAGTGTAAAAAACAAAAACAGAAATGAAATATTATTAGAGATATGAATATGTTGTTAATTAACTTGATGCTAAAATTGTCACTACAATTTACCTTGATACTCTCTGTGCTTTCCGTACGATTGGTCATATATCAGCAACTTGAAAGAGGCCTCCACGACAGTATCGGGCTTCACTGAGCTGCTCGCCAGCTGAAGCATTAGAGAAGCGTACTCCTTGTCGTCACCGCTCTTCTTGTCCCTTGGATTCAGTTTCAGGTACCTGCAAAGAAGCGAATAGATCACTGAGAATCTGCAAACACTGCTGTAGTTACAGGAACTTTGTGATGCAACCAAGCTGTTAAAAAGATCAGACTGTTAATTAGCATACCAGTTGTGGCCCATAATCTCAAACACTCTGGAGCAGGTCCATCCTTCACCCTTGTCAAGGAGTAAGGAGAATCCATCGACGCTCCACTTCATGGTCGTCTGCTGGCCCTGCCTCGGCTTTGATCGCCCTGAAACAGCAATTAGGAGATACAGAAACGGTACGAAAGATCACAGCAACAGCTAAAAATAGCGCTGCAAATACAGAAGAATCATCCGAGTGCATACCGCGAGATGAAGAGTTGCCCATGACGTTCCGTCCGTTAAGCCTGGTATTGAGGCTCTTGGTTTGTGCACAAGGTGTTCCTTTTCACTATATGTAGAAGGAGATTGATTAGGTGTGCGAATAGTTTCTCGGCAAATCGGGTGAGCTTCTGTCTATCATTGGAGACTTTGGAATTTGGACAAACCAACAAAAGCAAAAATAATGCAAGTAGAGGGGGTGCGTAAGTCACTAGCAATTTCCAAGCAATGCGTGTGCTTTTCCTTAGTAGGCGCCGCCGCCGTGAACCGGCCGAGAGTGCTATGTAGGCCACTAGAGATCCTTGTTTTTGTCGCACAACGGTATGGTCGTATAGTCCTTTTTTTAATATTGTTGGTTCGTTTGTCACATGGTCAATCTCGCTTGTCTCGCTAGTGAGATTGCGCCGATTTGTAACGTTTAAAACTCTTGCCTTCTTAATAAAATACGGGCTAGACCCGCTCGCAGGAAAAAAAAAACTGACACCATGTAGTAGGTTTCCTAAAAAAATGTAGTGTGTGTAACCCTGTACTCTGCACGCCTGCGCAGTACTGTTTCCTCGCGCATAAGAAGTTTCAAGCGTCAACTGAACAGGAAGGTAACCCACACAAATAACGCGGCTAGATCAGCTATCGTTACAATTTTTTGGATTGAGTTTTTATTTTTTATATTATCTATACTCAGCAAAGAATTTAGAAATTATGTTCTCCTTTTTTGAAAGAATCTACAATCAATCTAACCTAAACAGATGCAACTCACTCAGGATCTGATTTCTTTTCAACAACATCAAGCCATATCATCGCTTTTCAAGGTGTTCGCTGCTGCTTTAAGCTGCAACGACTGCAGCTTTTTGTCTCGCAGGGTGCTGCAGCAGGTGCTGTAGCTACAACTTGACCATCCATTCTATTATTTCTCTTCTAATCCATAATGCCACTATTACTACAACCTGAGCCGATGAAACCGCCATTGAACCCACTGGCCAAGCTAGAGTAAATAGGTGGGGGTGCCCAACCTCATCATGAATATAGTGACTTATATGATGTTCAAACAAATAGCATAACTAATTCACAATCTTTAACATCAAAATTCAACTTCCATTAATGGTAATGTGACTTTGGTCAAGACATAAACAAACTGGTAAGGGCAAGGGCAATAACACTCACCGTTTACAACAAAATAAAGACATTGTGGTGTAGTGATTATAAGAATGCCAAAACAATGAACAAAAGATGTCCCATATAGCAAAATATATGATCCAGCCTAAAGAAAAGAGAACAAACAGGTCAATTATTTAGCAAAGAAAATATACAATCATCCATTAAAAGTAGATGCATTGCATTTGCATTACCTCTTAGAGATCATATTTATGTCCTTTTTCTTTCCATGATCATGAAACGACGAATCATAGCCTCGTTGCTAACTTTCTTCATTTCTTCTCACCTTTTCTCTCAAGTTAGGATGGTAAGCATCAATTTGTTTCCCCAAAACAGGGTCATATTTAATCTCCTCATCCCAATTGATTTCAGGACATGAAATTCTATTAGCATCGATCATGTCTTGAGCTTTCCGTTTATAGTACCTCTCTATGATTACCTATAATTCATTCATTTGCATAATCAAATTGCAGTTCACAATTTCACATATAAATAATTTGATTGAGGATAAACTCACTAGTAGCTGGCAGGGGGCAGCGATGGCCGATGGGAGGGACAAGGACAGCCGGCAGAGACGCAGAGGGCGGCCAGGTAGACCGCAGACAACAGTAAGGAGCTCAGGGCGAGGGTGGCCACCGGCCAGTGAGTCGGACCCTGCTCTTGGTTCGGTGTGGAGCGGACGGCGGAGCCGGGACAGGCGAACAGTGGCGCCGGGACAGTAGCAGGGGCACGTAGCTTGGTGTGACCGGCGTCGACAGCGCCCTAGCAGCTCGGACTCGTTGCTCGTGAGGCAGGTGAGGCGTTGCGAGCAAGGAACCACGTGTCCGCTCGCTACACGTGCGACACTTCGGTTAGAAGCGAGCCTGGAAGGAAGTGGCGCAGTGGGCCTGTTGGGCTGGTGGGATGCCTCGTCTTAGGCCATGGGGGTGCCTACAGGGCTGAAATTTGTTATCTCTTAAGAAATTTTGGAATCGGAGGGGATGACTGGGCACCCACAAGCCATTATTGGGCTTCGCCCCTTTGGACCCCTCCGCAGGGTGGCAATCCGAGCAACGACCAGGTTACGAGCCAGTCACTTGGCCCACGGTGAATTGGGTAAGCAGAGCACCGCACGAAGACCAAAACCAGATGCCCCCGAGGGATTATCTGGGCCCCACTCAGGCTTGGCCAGTTTGAGCTCACTGAAGGCGTCACCCATCCTAGAAGTTGGGCCGGCGTGCTTCCTATCCACTGATACTGATGGACAAAGACCTAAGTCCAAGGGTCACGGCTCGGCCGGACGAATGACCAAGGAAGGATAATCCTCTCATCGTCATCCCAAAGATGACTTGGAGAAACCGCGAGGTGTTCGGGGGTTGATGATGAAAATCTAACACCGCGGTTACTTAAATCTCTTACTAGCACTTCCACAACGTAATTAACCCCCTGACTAATTTTGCTAATCAGCCATGGGCTCGGTGGCTGCACCCAGTGGGTGCGCTCACGTGCCCTCGCTAGATACCGACCAAGCCTTGAGGCTCATGACCCCAATCGCTCCAGGGCTCTAGCCGGGCAAAGCTACCTTGGGAACAGGGCTAAAGCCCAGGCCTATCAGGGTCCCCATCATTCAGGAGTCTTGTCCAACCAAACGAGGCTCGACAGTAGGCCTAAGATCCCTCATATGGGCTATCGCAAGATCCTAACCAAGTGGTGGTCCCTTGAGCGATGGGTTAGCCGTAAGGATCCAAGCACCCAGGGGATGCCTCGAACCTCCCAACAGGTCTCTATCACTTGGCAAGAGTCTGACACCTGAGCAGAGGCACAAGGTCATCACCTCTGACAAGATGTTGTTGTCATGTCTTAGCATGGCGTTGCCCACCTATTTCAAAAGGGGTCATGCTCGGGGCGACGTGTCGACTCCCCACTCACAAAGGAGATGAGCACATTGAACCCACGTGTCAGCCTCCCATGGGCCTCATCCCCCCTTGGTACAGGATAGACACCAAGGGATGATAGACCATGGACAGGCAGAACGATGGAGTACCAGCCTGCCCCAGCCATCTATAAAAGGCACCACATGCGGTTTCTACATTATCGGCCGTGACCACACGTGGAGTAGGACACGCCCAACAACATGAAGATCAGAAAAGAAGAAATCCTTCCACTTCCTTGACGCCCAAGGAAGCTACTAAACCTAATCCTTAAACTCCCCTTGTCCCCCAGAGATATAATGAGAGGTAGGGATTCCTGTAGAGGGGGGTCGACCCATCGAACCATAGATTAGTTGAACCTAGGATGATCGAGTCCTCTTGCTGTCCTATCCCCTATTGTAAACTCTCTTGAGAACTCTAATAACACGAAGAACTCTCTTGCTGGACGTAGGGCTTTAAGGCTTGAACCAGGATAAACCCTCCCATGTCATTGAGCGTTAACCACTGAGTCCCACACATCCACCACTAATTATTGGTCGTGCTTATGAACCCATGACACCATACAACTTGCATAGTCCCCACCATGCTATGTAGAAGGACTAGGGCAAACACCATGTCCGAAAGATACTTGGTGTCTAGAAGCGTACCTTAGTGCAACTCCAACGTGGATTAGAGATTACTTGTTCTAGCTTAGTGGTTAGTTCTAGTTTGTGTACTAGAATCTTGTGTGAAAACTATGGTTGTATGCTAGAGTGTGCTTAGCTATAGGGCTTAATTCTGCACCTAAAAAGAATATCTTAGTGTGCCCTTTTGTGAAGGATATGTTTAGTATACTGGCTTTAAGAACTTGATGTTAGTGTGAACCTTTTAGTCTTAAGACAAGTACCATAAGAGTGTTGTGATAGAATTGCATAGTCTAACATTCAAAGCTAGCCAGCTAGAGGGGCTCCTAGCTACTTGGGGGTACAGGGGATGACTACTCTGGAGGGATGATCAAGAATCTGTTTTGTGGTTGGCTAAGGGTGGCTGGGGCGGTGGCGGTGTGGCAAGGAGTCGCAGTAGTGGGTAGGATGGGAAACCTAGCATTCGAACATATGAATGAGGATCAAGCTTAGCGTAAAAAATCTTCAGTCACTATGTAAAAAAGCCACATATCCACCCCCTCACCACCGACACGACTAGTAAAGCGCGTCTGCTGTAGTACAACTACAGACGTGCCTTCCTGACGTGCGTCTATAGTAAGTCACCGGTGGGGGTCACCGGTCTAGTGAGGTCAACACACGTCTGTAATAAGATCTTACTACAGACGCATGTTGGTAAAACGCGTCTGAGCTAAATCTACAGACGCGTGTATATAAAATATGTCTACATCTGCAGTAGTTATTACAGACACATGTTGTGATTTCTGAGTCTCGGATAACGGGATCAAACTCTACAGACGCGCATATGTGACACACGTCTGTAGTAAGATCTCTTATTGCAGACGCGTATGTTGTTGCAGACGTGTGTTTCCAACACGCGTCTTGAGTAATCCTACTTGTAGCAGATGCGTCCTGCTCTATACGCGTCTATACTTTGTGGCAGACGTGTGTTCCATACATGCGTCTGTAGTACTTGGCCTACGTACTTAGTCGTTGGCACATGCTAACGGGTAGAGGGAGGTACTTGGCGCATACGGAACACAACGGACAGTGGCTCTTGCGTAGCTTTGAGGAGCACGGGCGGAGTTGGCGGGTGGCGGCTAGAGTAGCGTAGCGCAACCACCGGGGGGTGCCAGGTGGACTTGCGCTCTGCGCGTGCAGGTAGGAGGCGGGCGGATGCGCGGCGCGCAGGTGGTCGGCGAAAGGAGGGGCGTGGGGCAGCCGATGGGGCGCGCTGCTGTGGCGGGCGGCAGGCCGGTGGGGCTCGCTGCTGCAGCGAGCGGCAGTGGGTGGCCTTAGGGCCG